CCCGTGCTCCCTCCTGTCCCGTGCCACCCCCATGTCGATCCGAGCACAAGCGTTCCGCATCTTCGGTTGGAGCGGGCGTCCCCGGCCACCGAGGTACTACTGTACGCGTCATTTTGACTGGCTTGCTTGGGACAATCGTCGGGTGGCTCGGTGGCTCGATGGCGAGCTCCGGTGCTCGGCTCTCGCCTTTATCTTGATCCTCATTCCCCACTTCCCTTTTCTCAACCCCCCCACCACACCCCCACCCCCACCCCCCTCCTCCATTTTACTCTTTCTCTTGGTTCATGGCGCTTGCTGTTGAGTGTGCTTTGCACGGGCTGTGCATCGCATACAAACAGCCTCTCCTCGCTTTACTGCGAACCACCGATCAGGCGTGCTGGCCGCAGGGCAAGAGGTAGCGAGCGAGCGACCCCACAATCATACTCGCGAGCGCCATCGTCATCACATCCCCCTCATCCCCCACTCTACTCCTCTCGTGCCAAGGTGGCGAGGTAGCCGACCATTGAGAGAAGCGGGCTTGTTGATCCATACCTACACACACACTCCCTCCATCTCTCCTCTTGTCTCTCCACCATGATCCTCCACACTCGCTCTGCAAAGGGCTGTAGCAAGACTGAGGGCATCGGCTCCTCAGCCCCAGTTGCTCCTCAGCGCCCCTCACGACGCCGTGGCGTTTCTGTCAAGCTCCTGCTCAAGCGTGCTAGAGGCAGTGCTGCAGCCAAACAGAAACTCGCGACCCCTCCTCCAACCCCCGCCTCCCCAATGTTCCAGATCCAGGTGGTGGGCTGCCCTCCTCTCCCCTCTTGGCTACGCTCGGACCACATCGCTGACCCTTTCACAGATGAACCCTCCCGCTCCTCAGCCATCGCTATGCGAGTCTCAGCAGACATCCCGTGAGCCGTCAACGTCTGGGCAGTCGTTTTCCTCGGCGACGAGCGAGCCGGCGTCCAATGCTGGGATTACTACTACCGGCGCAATGGTAGCCTCCCCAGTTGCGTTGGAGCCTACCGCCGCGCCGGCGATTCCCTCGCAGCAGTCGCAGCCGCAGCTGCCCCGCCGCGCGTACACAGAAAGCGGCACATCCACGCCCTCGTCTCCTACCACTCGTGAGGCAACACGCCAGGCCAAGCATCACACCGGGCCGCTGCACGATCTTCGTCGCTTCCTCAACCACCACATCGGCAACAACAACCACGACAAGGAGCGTGCGCACACGACAGGGGACTTGTCGCCTGGATCTGCTACGCCCATTTCTCCGTCGGGCGCGGCCACTCCTGGCGCCCAGCTCCGCGGCAGTAACTTCTTCACATCAGGCGGAAGCGGATCTACGACCCCTGCCCCGAGCGAGGGCACCCCTGACAGCCGCAGGACCACTGGTGACAAGAACGACAAAGATCATCACGGCCACCACTCGTCACACCTTGTCGGCTTCATGCGCCATCACCACCGCGACAAGGACGGTGAAAAGTCCCACTCGTCGCTCGCCTCGTTCTTCGGACACTCGGAAAAGAAGAAGCAGAAGAAGGAAAGGGAGCGCGCAGAGAAGGAGCGCAAGCTGTCGGGTGACGTGGGGGGTCACGATGGCTCGTCACGTCCATCGTCGGCCGCACCGAGCCGTACGCCTACGATGATGATGCTGGACAAGCAGCACCTGCACGACGACCACCATCTGCCATCAGGCGCCCACACGCCATCAAGGCACTCTGGCCACGCGACGCCAAAGAACCTCGGCGATTATCCCAGCGTTCCCGAACCTGTCATTGCCCTCACCCATCCGTCGTCTATCGAGGCTACACACGCTCACCTCACCAAGATGTACGGCAAGTGGGGACGCGTGCTCGGCTCGGGTGCTGGTGGTACAGTGCGCCTCATCAAGTCAGACTCGCGCAAGGGTGGCACCACTTACGCTGTCAAGGAGTTCCGACCGAGGAGGCAGGGCGAGAGCGAGAAGGAGTATCTGCGCAAGGTCACTGCCGAATTCTGCGTCGGCGTCACGCTGCACCACACCAACGTCATTGAAACGGTCGACATTGTCTGCGACCACGGCCGCTACTACGAGGTGAGTCAGGGGACACGGGACAGTCGCTGACAGAGCAGATCATGGAGTATGCGCCCTACGACCTGTTCTCTGTCGTCATGTCGGGCAAGATGAACCGGCCCGAGATCTACTGTGTGTTTCGTCAGATCATCGACGGTGTCAACTACCTCCACAGTATGGGTCTCGCGCATCGCGACCTGAAGCTTGACAACTGCGTCATGACCAGCGGTAACATTGTCAAGCTCATTGACTTTGGCACAGCCACTGTGTTCCACTACCCCGGCAAGCACCAGATTCCCGCATCTGGCGTGGTCGGATCAGACCCTTACCTGGCGCCCGAGGTTCTCACAAAGGAGACATACGACCCGCGACTCACGGACGTGTGGTCGGTGGCGATCATATTCATGTGCATGATCCTGCGCCGCTTCCCGTGGAAAATCCCCGACTACAAGACGGACATGAGCTTCAAGCTCTACGTCAACACACACCCGGATCTGTGCAAGAAGCCCGCGATCAAGACGCCTGCGCCTTCGGTCATAAACGGCCTTGACCACCCACGCCAGCGTGGACCTGGTCACGAGACACTCAAGGCTGACGGTTCGTCCACGCTTCCCTTTGTTGACCGGACGACGACTGCCTCGACCACGAGCACCGTCGTTCCTGGCAGCGGTGCCGCGCTTGGTACATCGTCTTCCAACTCGAGCAGCGACACGCAGACGCCGCGCGTTGATCGCTTGCAGATCACCGACAGCCCGGTACAGGACGCATCGGACAAGTACTTCCCGCGCAGGCATGACTCTACTGCTTCGCTGCCCGCCATTGCGGCTGGTCCGTTTGGCCGCCAGATCCCCGCGCGGCAGCAGACTTTGCCACCACCACAAGCGTTCCCGGCGGACGCGGTTGAAGCCAAGACGAAGCCCCGCGTGGGCGGCGGCCGCGACCGATCTGTGACGCTTGGTGCGCCAAGCGCGCCCAAGGAGGTGCGGCAAGAGCAGCAGAGGAGACGTGAGCGCGCGGCGAGCATCAGCTCGACGCGGACGTACACGACTGGCGGCGCGGAGAGTATATTCCGCCTGCTGCCGCGTGAGAGCCGCTCTGCAATTATGCGCATGCTTGCAGTAGAGCCGACGATCCGGTGCACGCTCGGTGACCTGCTGTTCGGCGAGGGCAAGGACGACCAGATGTGCCCGTGCGGCCGTGCCGAGTGCGGGGGCAGCCTGTCGAGGCCGCCGTCCGAGCTGACGGGCGTGGACGAGGACGACGACGAGGGCGACCACTGGATCCAGAGCATCGAGTGCTGCTCGCACCACCCGGGCAAGCCCGTCAACCACACGCACATCAAGGTCGTGCAGGACGAGAAGCCGAAGAAGAAGCTCTTCCACTAGACGGGGCATTGCTGAGGCCCGGCTGTGCGTGTTGCCTGAGCGTGCGTCAGCCGCTGGACATGTACTAAGCTAGCGCGTGTATTGTCGCATGGTTGATCTAGAATGTAGTAGTCTTGAGATTGGGGGTTGAGTTGGGTGTGGTTGTGGTTGTGGTTGTGGTTGTGGTGTGGCGTGAGGCGTGTGGCGTGTGGCGTGTGGCGTGTGGTGGCTGTCAAGCGGGCAACTGTCATGGAGGAGATGCGATACGATATGCCTTGCGCCACTCGGGCGGCGCCACAGATGTACACGGGGGGGGTCGCGTGTGAGGTAGTGGCGCGTTGCACAGCTGCACCTTGATCTACTGTACTGTAGTGATACCATGTTGCTGTTGGATGAGGGATGAGCGTGCGTGCTACAGAGGCTGCGTGGAGTGTGGAGATTGGCGTCGAGGTGAAACGATGGATGAAGATTTGTGCCTGTTCCTCAACTAACTTTGTTGCCAGTCAGCCTTGTTGGCAGCTCGCAGCTCGCAGCTCGCAGATGGCATCTGGCAGCGCGGCTATTGATCTAGCTCGCAGGATTGATCTAGATCGCGGCTTGTCGTGCCGCTCAACCGTCCAAGATTGCGCGAGTACCGCAGGTTGTAGAGTATGACTGTAGTGTAGGATCGCCAGACGCCAGGCCGCCGGGCGCCACACCTGTCCTCTATCCTCCCTTCCCATACAGCATGGACTTGGAACATGGACAGAAACTAGCATGCAGAGTAATACTGTAGATGTAGAATGCATACATACTGTACGCAAGGTTGAGAGTTTGCTGCGCACAAAGAGAGCCTGCATAGAGCAAGGGCGGAGGGAGGTGCGGGATGAGAGGGATGAGAGGGGAGTGAGCAACGTCCCTGGGTGCTACGTGTTGGCCTGTCCCTGAATAGCCTCCACCCCATGAATTAGCAGCCACAATTAATTCAATCGCCACGCACAAACTCTTCGACTCTCGACACTGCTTTATCCTCGACGCTCGCTACCTCCTCCGTCCTCCGTCTTCCGTCTCTTCCGTCTCGGCCACCAATTAGTCCCCCCCCCGTCTTGCGCTGCGGACTGCGATCCACTCACCCTCACCCTCTCCCTCCCCCTCACCCCCCTCTCCCTATCGCTCCTCACCACGCGCGCCCCACTTCCTCTCTCCG